AGCTCTACCATACGCATTCTTACTAGTCAAAAGGATCATTCTTACTAGTAAAATGGCATTGTAGATATCTTGAATTCATATTCTTACTAGTAAAACTTGCCATTTTTACTAGTAATAAGTAAGCCTTGTGCTAATAAAAGGCAGCCTGGCTTGCCATATCTGAATGACTTTCAGCCATCTCACATGCTTCTCTGTCCAAATTTCAGGGGGAAACATTATTTCCTGAAATCCAGGATATTTGGTTCCCCTGCTAAAAACAGACCGACAGCAATTCTGAAGCCCAATACAGTTTATACACATGTCAGATGGATACATAATTACATGTCCATAAACTAGTATCATCTGTATTAGGTTCCAGAAAAGCAGCACGTTTGTTTCAGCAGGGGGAAACAAATATCCTGGATCTCAGGAAATGCTTTCTCTTCACATCCAGGCCAAAAAGTATGTGAGGTGAATGAAACTCATTTAGGTACATAATTATGTACGTAAACTAGAATAATCAGTATTGGGCTCCAGAGTTACTGTTTGTTTCAGTAGGGGAAACCATATATTCTAGGCTTAGGTAATGATGTTCCCTCGCACAAACCTATGATTAATGGCTGAAAAAAGGGATTCAGCTACGCATTTCCACGTAAAGAAATTTGTATTTGGTGTCCTGCAATTTCCGTGTGTGTTACCATAGGAAACCACGAATCAGAACTGAATTATGAATGGATTCAAAGACATCGTCAGCAGTAGACGACAAATGTAAAGAGTGAGTTGCTCCAGTTAAGTTATAATTAGAAATTAACAATATTGCATTTTCTGTATTTCCCCAGTAAACACCTATCACAAGTTATTTAAATAATTTTACTTGTCTTTGAAAACACAGAAACATCGCAGACATGCGATGTTTCCACGTATATGGCTTGTTTACCTCAACACAGTATTGGAGATAGACATTTAAACGACAGCGAAATCGTGTAACTATGAAGTAGCGGGTGACGTCATTATTTCAAATCAGCGCGCGACATCGGGAGCATGGAGGAGCTGTATTTCTCATAACACAAGCAGAACATGAAACTAGCTAGCTATATTAGCAGCTACAGCTACAACCCCCCCCCAAAAACGTCTTACTGTGCCGCAAATGCCTCTGTTGGAGTAAGCAGTCTCCACTGGGTCCGTGGATGAGAAGAGATTCACAGCTGAAACGTGGAGAAGTTGCAGGTCACCAGTTTATTCTCTGACAGATTACAATCAGGGAGCGACTATCTGACATACATTCAGCATGTACAGGAAGAAGCTCAACCATATGCATCAGCTCTATCCCTTTTTGGGGATCTCCCCCCTCTCACGGTACCTTCCATCTACGTGTCAACCACATGTTTGACATTTGCTCTAGTTAGTCGGTTAGTACTTGTCCTTCTGGAAGGCTACAGATAAGTAAGGGCCGCTTACGTTCTCCGTCTGCTCCCTCTATCTGTCTCGTTAGGTCACCCTGCCCTGCCGGCGCGCCAGTCAGTTCTCGTTTCGATTAGTTACAGCCTTATAGAATCATTCCCTCACCTCCTAACGTCAGGAACTCGAAAGTTGTTTCCCCAAACGGTATTCCTCTACGTCACTTGCAGCCTGTCGGAATAATGGCGGCGCCTCCCCACCCTTTTGAATTCACTCGCTCCACACGCCACATCCTGATTGGAGGGCAGCAAACAAGGCCGCCCGCGAGATGCTGCCGACCCTCGCCTGCCGGCAGAAATCTGCGTTACAAATACAGTAATAAATAAATACAGCAGGTTGTTTTAAACAGTACATTAACCCCAATGGGACCTGTATCTTGTGGATATAGATATTTGCAGGGGAACAAGGACATCAGCTCGCGGGTGGGGGCTAGGGTGGCACAAGATGTTTTGTGCGTGCCAAGGTTAATTTATCGACACAGGCTGCGGTGATCGTTGCTAGGCATATAATATAGGGTTGCCACAATAACTAGGGGGGGGGGGGACAGCAGAATGACGTACAGAACAACATGTTGCACCAGATAAGCAGAAAACTTCCAGAGAGTGAAAAAGTTCTGACAGGGGCGGGGGCTGCTTGTAGAAGGGGTATAAGAAAAACGGTGAACAACAAGGAAGTCGAACTCTGTGGGGGTTCGGTGCATTGCAGAGTTCCCAGATCGATCTGTGGTAATAAAGGGTATTGGACAACTCATCCACGCCTTCGAGTGATCTCTTCTCATCCACGGACCAGGTGGAGACGGCGTACTCCAAGAATTTGGGGGCTCGTCCGGGATGAGCTAGAGATTCCGAGAAATTGGCAGACTTAGACAAGATCCTGTGGACGACTACGGGCGCCCAACTTAAAGGTAAGCAGAGCCTGTTATATCAAATTCTGCATATTGGCAATGTCAAATCAAGTGGTTTGAAGTGTCCTGAAATCTGTCAGTAAATTGTAAGTAACCAAGTGAGAATATAGTTGGACCTTTGGACGGTGGGTACGGGACCCCTGTATTGTCCTTGGTGTGGCAACTCCACTTTTCGTCGACGGGCGGTAGAGAAGCTGGGTTAGAGTCCCGGGGAATTCAGGCCCCCAAATGCTAAATTGGAAAGAGGGAATAAGGTCCCCCTCTCTAAAACGGGTTGGAGTCCCGAGGTGTAGAGCCCTCAAATCCTGGGTTGGAGTCCCTGGGTTAGAATCCCAAAAGTACCGGGTTGGAGTTCCGAGACTAGGAGTCTCAAAGTACCACTCTGTGTGCAGTTGTGCTGATTTGTGTGTGAGTGTGATTACATGTATTGGTGCTGCCTGTTAGTGGGGCACCCTACTAAAATAAGGAGGTGTACTAAGTGTGGGTGGGTGAACAAACATCCGGAGGCAGAAGGGGTGTTAGATAAAGGATTGAAACAGCCTGTGCAATCTAGAAATGGAGCACGAGTTTGATCGGGAAATAGACGACGGGGGCTGGGCGCCCCCAGTCGAAAAAGGGGCATGGAAGCCCTTATCAAGGCAAATGCAAGTCGTAGGAGTAGCAGCGTCCAAAGCAGCAAAGGGGAAGAAGAGAGATAGGGCGGTGGCCGCAGCAAAAGATAAGAACATAAGAACATAAGAACTATACAAACGAGAGGAGGCCATTCGGCCCATCGAGCTCGCTTGGGGAGAACTTAACTAATAGCTCAGAGTTGTTAAAATCTTATCCAGCTCTGATTTAAAGGAACCCAAAGATTCAGCTTGCACTATGTTATCAGGAAAACTATTCCATACTCTGACTACACGCTGTGTAAAGAAGTGCTTCCTTAAATCCAGTTTGAAATGTTCTCCTACTAATTTCCACCTATGGCCACGAGTTCTTGTATTTGAACTAATGCTGAAGTAACTATTCGGTTGAACAGCATCCAAACCTGTTAGAATCTTATAGACCTGGATCATGTCCCCCCTCAGTCTCCTTTGCTTGAGGCTGAACAGATTTAGCTCAACTAACCTTTCCTCGTATGACATTCCTCTAAGACCAGGAATCATTCTTGTGGCCCTACGCTGCACCTTTTCTAAGGCCGCAATGTCCTTTTTAAGATATGGTGACCAAACCTGCACACAATATTCTAGGTGAAGTCTCACCAAGGAATTGTATAATCTTAGCATTACCTCCCTTGACTTAAACTCCACACACCTGGAGATATACCCCAACATCCTATTGGCCTTTTTTATTGCTTCTCCGCACTGGCGAGAATGAGACATGGAAGCATCAACATACACACCAAGGTCTTTCTCATAATCAGCTACCTTTATTTCAGTAGGTCCCATAAAATACCTGTACTTTATATTTCTGCTCCCTACATGGAGTACCTTACATTTGTCTATGTTAAATTTCATCTGCCAGGTATCGGCCCAGTCACTAATTAAATCAAGATCCTGCTGTAGCTGCTGAGCCGCTAGTTCAGTATCTGCTACACCACCCACCTTGGTGTCATCTGCAAATTTCACCAGTTTACTGTATATATCGGTGTCTATATCATTTATGTAAATTAGGAACAATAGTGGTCCTAAAATTGAACCCTGCGGTACCCCACTATGAACGCAGGCCCACTGTGACATTGTGCCTCTTATAACTATTCGCTGCTTCCTATCTGTTAACCAGTTATCAATCCAGGTCGCTACAGTTCCTAAAATACCTGTCGCTTTGAGTTTAATAGGTTGTGTACTGTGGTTCGTTGCGGGGGTATGGGAGGACGACCCAGAGGATAGGGCCCTCACGTACCAGTTAGAGGAGCGGATGGCCAGAATAGAGGAGGCAATAAAACGGGAAACCTCACTCTTAGAGGGAAGGGTGGGGGTTCTGGGTAGTGATGACGAGGGAGACAGCGAGGGGGCGTGCCATGACAAGGTTTCAAGGCCCCCAAGACACCAATTCCCTCTGCTAAGAGGGGCGGGCCAGACGCAGGAAAAATATAGACCTTTCTCGATAGGAGATGTGCAGGCGCTGGCTGATAAGATGCCGCCCCCAGCAGAAGGAGGAGGACAGTGGATGGAAAAGCTAGACCAGCTCACTCAGGGGACAAAATTGGCACTGGGAGATTTCCGGGCAGTGGCAGCCAGATGTCTGACTAAACGCTCTTTGCTGGAGGTGGAAGAGAGGGCAGGGACACTGACGCATCCTGATAACATTACTGTAGCTTGACGACCGTAGTACTGCACATTGGGAATGCCATGAGAGAAATGTTTCCTCCTAAAACCGGAGCAGTCATCCCGAAGCTGACGTGGGATAAAACCATGCACCCCAGGGAATACCTGGATAAGTGTAAGGAGGATTGGACGCGGCGAACCGGGTGTCACCCCGAACAGCAAGGGGTACAGCGCGAATGGTTCCGGCGGGCTGTAATGGAGGGGGTTCCAGAGGGAGGGCGGGCTGCGATCCTGGGCAACCCAGACTTACCAGGTGCAGACTCCCACGTGTGGGATAGGCATGTGATACACCACCTGCAGCGGGCCCAGGACGAGGCAGGGAAGGAGGAGAGTGACCTTAAAGAGCTCCAAACCCAATTGCTGAAGTTGCAGGTGGGGGAGGCTAGGCAGAAGGCCACCGAGAATAAAAAGAGGGGGCAGACTGGGAAGCAGATGGTGGCGGAGGCAACCACAGGGGGCCCACCCCCACAACCCACGCCAGGCCAGTGGGGAAGGACATACCCCGTCCCGCCCTGCCAATACGGTGGGTGGGCTCCCAATTGGGGAGGAGGAAGAGGTGGCCCGGATCGGGGATCGGGGGCCCGAGGTTGGGGAAGGGGCACTCCGCAAAGAGGACAGCCGGGGGGAGGCGCCTGCCACCGGTGTGGGAACTTAGGGCACTGGGCCAGAGACTGCCCTGCACCCGGCCCAATGAGGGGCAGAGGCCGTGGGGGACCAACCAGGGGACACATGGTCGCCCCCAACCCACAAGCCGCACCCCAGCCAGGAGGCCAATACCCGGCTCTGGATGGCGGGGAGTGGGAAGACTTCTCCTTCCCCCAATGACACACCCCAGGAGAGGCCCAGGACAGAGGAGAGACAGATCCTATGCTGTCCCTAGTGGTCATGGACAAAGAACTGCCATTTCTGGTGGTGACTGGGGCCACATATTCCACTCTGAACATGGCTCCAAAGGACAATCAGGTGTCCACCTCCACAGTGACCATGGAACTGCCAGTAACGAAACCAGTGAAGGTTTTGATTGGAAAACAGACCTTCCTGCATCCGTTCGTGATCTCACCCACGGTTCCAGTCTACCTGTTGGGGAGAGACGTCCTGGTGAAGCTGGGGGCCTCCATACTGTGTAGCGCTGATGGCCTGGTGGTGACACTGCCAGAAGGCACCCAGCTGCGGTGCGGGACTCAATACCAGGGCAGCGGTCAGTGGCTCATGTGGCCGGTGTGACCCCACACTGCAGACATCTATTGGGGCCTGCTGGAACCTGGCCCCGGGGGCATCCTCGAGGCCTACTTGATGTGGAGGCCCTGGATCTCACTCCTCGAGCCCTACATTCCTCCGCCCGACCAACCTCATGTGACTCTGTTCTATGATAGGGATGGCACTGAGTGGTACGAGGAGCTTTTTTCAGAGCAGCTGGAAGGCCATTAATGGCAAGTTGCTTCCCAAAACATCTATGTGGGCCCCGAGGGGGTGGCCTCAGCTACCATCCTCACTCCCGAGCAGCAGCCTTGGTACAGGATGGGTCAGGAGGCGGTTCCCCACATCTCACTCGCCCTGCACCCCAAACATCAGGCCAAAGATCTCGGCCCCATGGTCAAAAGGGCACAAGAAGCCGAGGACTGGGTGGAGACCCAGATCCCGGCTGTCACCTTCTCCCCCACGGGTAATACGTACTGCATTAAAGTGGCGGTACAAGACACCGTCACCCTTCAGCTTGACCAGATGATATGGGACCATGGGAGGGAAAAAATGGACCACCCGGACGTTAAAGCCCTGGTGGTCTCCCTCCCAGATTCCCGGTGGTCCCGGAGCCCCACAGATGTAGGCCATGTTCACTGCTCCCCCGTCGCGTTCGAGCTCCACCCCAGGGAGGGGCCCTTATGGATCAGCCAGTACCCCCACAAACCGGCCGCAGAGGAAGGAATAGCAGAGACCGTTGAAGGGTTAATCTTGGTCGGGGTGTTGGAACCCTCCTGCTCTGCCTGGAATACGTCCATTCTCCCAGTAGAAAAGGCAGGTACAGGTAAATATCGAATGGCCCATGATCTGCGCTCCATTAACAATCTCCTGCTGACCCCCACCGTCCCAGTCCCAAATCCCTATGTGGCCCTCACCAATCTCGCCCCGGAAACAAAAATGGTTCACTTGCATTGACTTAGCCAAGGCTTTCTTTAGCCTGCCACTGGCTGATCACTGCCGGGACATTTTCTCATTCACCTACAGGGAGTGCAGTGGAGGTACACTTGTCTCCCTCAGGGCTTTGCCCTGTCTCCGGGGATTTTCAACCAAGATCTCAAGCAGGCCCTGGAAGGGTGCCCCTTACCAGATGGGGGTCACATTTTTTCCAGGACGTAGACGATCTTCTCATTGCCGCACCCTCCCCTGAGTCGGCTCTGGAGGCCACGCGGCCGGTACTGTGCCGTCTGGCAGAGAAAGGGTTCAAGGTTAGCAGGGAGAAACTACAGGTTGCCCGCATGGTCGTTTCATTTCTTGGGAGGGTGTTCTCTGGGACAGGGACAGGGCTTTCCCCTGCCCATCGATCTGCCATCCTGCATCACCCCAAACCAGTTACAGTCAAGGACATGCTGTCGTTCCTGGGACTCACAGGGTACAGCCGCACATACATCCCCGATTACACGGGTCTCACACAGCCACTTCGGGCCCTAGTGAAGGAACATGGGCTGAGACGCCTGACTGCCCCCCTTAATTGGGACACTGCAGCAGAAGAGGCGTTCATCACTCTAAAGCAACGCCTAGCGCAGGCCGCTGACCTTGGCCTGCCAGACTACTCCCTCCCCTTCCACCTTGATGTTTCTGAAACAGAGAACGTGGCGAACGGCGTTCTGTTTCAGAAAAAGGGGGGAGAGAGGAAGGTACTGATGTATGCCAGCGTAGGCTTAGAGAAACGGCGGCGGTATAAGTGGGGCCCGGAACAAAAGGGGGACGGGAATGCCAAAGCATATTATGATGGACTGCAAGTTCTCCTTTCAGATTTCTCCCGCCAGGTCCAAGAGGGGCAGTCACCAGCAGGCACCGGCAAGCCCCACACGGCGGTGTGGGTCCTCCTGAAAGTCATCAAGAGGAAGTGGTCAGAGCCCCGGTGGACCGGCCCTTTCCAAGTCACCGAAAGGACCTCCCACGCGGTGCGGCTGAAGGGAAAAGGCGACACGTGGTTCCACTGGAGCCAGTGCGCTGCGACACAGGAGCCAGGCAGATCCGTAGCTGAGATCCAGGAGGACCTCGCCGGGAGAGTACAGAGTTCTGGATCGGAGGAACCAGAACCAACTCAGGTCTCCACAAAGGGGCAGAATAATCCCCTGACCTGAGAAGATCGGCAGGGTAGTCCACACCTGTCCGACAGAAGAAGCAGAAGGCCTCAT